AGCCGCCGGTGCCGGTACCATGCCCCCACAGGAGCTCCTGGACTACTCGCCCGCCCTACGGAGACACAGCCCCCCCCGGGGCAGCGGCCCGGAGCTGGGCATCAAGTGCGTGCTGGTGGGCGACGGCGCCGTGGGCAAGACCAGCCTGGTCGTCAGCTACACCACCAACGGGTACCCCGACGAGTACCAGCCCACCGCCCTCGACACCTTCTCCGGTAGGCACCGGGCCCCGCCGCGCCTCGGGGGGATCCCGGCGGATCTGCGGGTGTAGGGGGAGGGAGCCTGGGGGCACAGAGCTCCAGGGGCGTTTGCTGCCACTCGGGGTGAAGTTTTGGTGTTCTGGCAGCTGTGTGGGTCAATGGGGCACGTGTTGGGCCGGCTTGCAAGTTCCATGAAATCGGGCACCTTCCTGGCTTTGGGGTCTTACTATGGCTAAGTAGAAGGGGGCTTAATTTTTTGTTGCTGGTGGTGGGTTTTAGCTTCAGAAATATCACAGCATTGCACTGTAGGCTTTCTAGCTTTGGCTGATATTCAGCAAAAACATCCCTTTCCCCACATGTCTGCTGAAGTTAGCGCTGCACAGAAGTTGTCAGAAAGTTGAAGAGCTTTGTGAGTCTGGCCAGAATTGCCTTCCCCGTCAGCTGATGAGCTCTTATTAGTTTCCACTTCTGTAAATGCTATCTTTGTTCTTGTTCTCCACTTCTTTTGGGCTCCAATTTCTAATCTAAACCCCAGGAAAGTACAAAGTCCTTTGAAAGATTTCTGATCTTCATCCGATATGAAGAAACACAACAGTACATGACAGTACAGATCGGTAGATCAGAGATGGGCTCAAGGCAGACCAGGAACAAGACTTCTAATGCGTCATAGTCTCAGGGGTTCTTAGAGGGAGTGTTTGTCTCAATGTCTCAATGTCTCTCCAGTTGCTCACTGTTACAATGGGAGCTGTTGATTTGACTTGACCCTCTCTAAGCTCTTCCACTGTCGCTTGAAGGAAGGGAACTGGGAACACGCTGCTGCTCTGGGTCCAGCAGCCCTTTGGGAACTGTGTCCTTGAGCCCTCGAGTCCTCCCAGGGAAAGGTTACTGCTCTCTCTGCTTCCTGTACACTGATATATACAGCATGGGCTAAGAGAGGCTTGAAATTGCCATAGTTACTAGCCTCCACCTTTTTGGAAAGGGAAAATCCCTAGTAAAAGGATCCAGAAAGGAGGAGGCAGTTTGAGTTCAGAGACTCCCTGATTGGCAGCAAGTAATTTGAAGATAGCTGCATGTGGGTTTAGCCCCACTCTGACTGTCCAAGTGCCGAGCCCGAGTTCCCGAAGTGCATAGATTTGCCACTGATAGGAATCAAACCCATTAAAAACAGGTCTTCCAAAGTTCACTCTCTGCTTATTGGGAGGAAAGGGGAGAATAGAGAAGTTTCCCCTCCCACCCCTACTCTTAACCTGGATAAACCTGAGGAAAGTCCCTCCCTGGATTCACAAAGCACAGTTCAAGATCCACTTCAGAAATTTCAGCCCAATTCTCCCCCTCTTTTGGGGAATACTTGCAGTTGAAACTGTCAGCAGAACTGAGCTTTGCAGTTTACATCCTAACCTTGAGCCTGGTCATGGGACTGTAATGCCAATAACAAGATAGGAGAAAGTATTGCATTATCAGGGGAATGGCTCTGGGTCTGTGACCCAGCCACATTTGTCTGGGCGCTACCTCCTGCTGGGTGTCACTGCCAGGTAGAGCAGCTTTGAGTGAAACGTACCCAGTGACCTTTCTCTACCAGGCTATCCTGTTCTGCCGGCCCCTTCGCTATTGTACCAAAATCCAGCCTCATCCCGAGGGTGTGGACCTTGTGAGGGCGGTGTTTGGAGGGCTGTCGCAGAGTTGCTAGCATAGCTTTAGCTAGCAGCAGGTACGAAAAAACCCTGTGCAAGCACTGGAGCAGCAGTTAAAATATGTGGTGTCTTTCTTCTGAAGACTGTAAAACATCTCAGAGATGCTAATTCCTTCTCTCAAGGCACTTGGGAGACAGAAGAAACCAGATACTAGAAAGGCAAATGCCCAGTGCCTTGAAGATCAAGTCAGGATCTAGCAGGTCCTTTGATCAGGAACAGGTTTCTCTTCCTCCTCTGGGGCAAAGATATGGTAACAATCCAACCATTTCCCAGTCACAAGGAAGCAATGACTTTCAGCTATGCTGCAAGGACTGGCACTGTGGTGGATGCACCCACCCCTTCTTTTTTTCCTTCAGTTTCAGTCTCCCACCAAAACTCAGTTCACCTTTTGTCTGCTCTCCCTCTTTCTCCCAGACTGCTTTCAGGGAGGAGTGCTCTCTTCCAAGGGCTTGTGTAAAACCCTCCAAGTCAGTGGTTTCTATTGCTTTTTTCACCTGGGTAATTACTTCAAGAATCACAAAAGATTGATCCTACTTCTGTTTAGGGTTTTGGGGTTTGTTTTAAAGAAAAAGGACAATAAAGCCTTCTCGCCTTGCACAGCAAAGGAGTTTAGCTACCTTGTGTCAAGTGCCAGCCATCATCACCTTAGCCAGGATGTCTGCCTCTATTCATCAGAGCACAGCCCCCTCCCCTTTATTAAGACTTTCAAGTGATTTCCAGCTCCCCCAGCCCCTTTCTCCTTTTCCTCGGTTCCTAGGCAGTCTTTGTGGTGTCTGTGCACTTAAACATCTAACAGTTTCATTCCAGATTTCCATCAGAGGTCCTGCCAGCCCTCAGTCTGAGTCAGCTGATACCACATGAAGGCTTACTGTGATTAGGGAGTGAAATGGGAGCAGACCTTACATGTGTAACTCAGCAGTTTTTCTCTGTGTGGATAGACTCTGAAGGGGATTTCACTCATCAGTTTCCTTAATAGCTTCTCCATTTCAAAGTTAGGTTTAGGTTTTTGCTTTTCCTTAGCTAAGGCACTCACAGAAACACTGTTTTTAAGGCCAAATCTCTGGCCTGGTTGGGAAAACTCTCCAATAGCTTGTTTAATGAAGACTAATTTGAACTGCCACCCTTGGCCAAGAAGCTAGGAGCAAGTTGCTTGAGTTCTCACTTTGTGTTTATCTTTGTCTGCTTTTTTGCGTTGTGGAAGAACAACAAATTTTCTCAGAGCACCGTTTGGCTAGGGGCTCTTCTCTAGAGAAGCAGTTGTCCCATAATATAGAACTGTTCTTTCAAAATACTAGAGCACAGCCCAAAACACCTGAGGGATAACAAAATTACAAAGTATTACAGGCTCTTAATGTTGCCAGTGCAAGCTTCATCTGTTTTAGTGAGGTTTGGGAGGATGTTCAGCAAGGAGGACAGGCTTGAGTGACTTCAGCAACTCGTTTCAGTGGGATACAAACCAGAGTGTGCTGGGGAAACCCTGTATGAGTGTGCGTGTGTATGCTGGACAACTCCCTTAGACTCACCCTTATTCTGTTCTGCTACAGTGCAGGTCCTGGTGGATGGAGCCCCAGTCCGGATCCAACTGTGGGACACCGCTGGACAGGTAAGCTCTGACTATCAGAGCAGCTGTCAGCTCTGGTCCAGTGGGACAGGGACTGTTTGCAGGCTATTGAGGAAGGCAATGTTTAACTGGGAAGGAAGGAAATGCACTAGCCCAGCATCAGCTGTTTGCTGGTATGGCAGTCAGGCAGGTGAATAACAGACTCCCTCAGCTCTGAAACATGTGTCTGAACGGCAGCGTGGCCGCAATGTCAGCACAATGCCTGCCTCTGAGGGTGCTGCTGTCCTAGTTAATGTGTGGAAAAGCCACAGCAACATCATGCTGTTAGGAGATCAGTCCAGTAAAGACTCTTTTTTTCCCCCCTCCATTTTCTACAGGAGGACTTTGACTGTTTGCGCTCACTTTGTTACCCCGACACCGATGTCTTCCTTGTCTGCTTCAGCGTGGTAAACCCAAGCTCCTTCCAAAACATCACTGAGAAATGGATTCCCGAGATACGAACTCACAACCCCCGGGCGCCGGTGCTGCTAGTGGGGACACAGGCAGATTTGCGGGACGATGTCAATGTCCTCATCAGCCTGGATCGCTACCATGTGAAGCCTGTGCCCCGGCCTCAGGCAGAAGGTCTAGCTGACAAAATACGGGCTGAAGCCTACCTGGAGTGCTCAGCACTGACCCAGAAGAACCTCAAAGAAGTTTTTGACATGGCCATTGTCAGCGGTGTTGAGCACAAAGCACGTCAGGAAAAGAAGATGACAGCCAAAGGCATCAAAACTCTCTCCAAGTGCCGCTGGAAGAAGTTCTTCTGCTTTGTCTGAAGCTGCTTTGAGGGGGGGAAGAAAGAAATACCCGATGCTAGTATTGGCTCTGCACCTTCTTGGAGTGACTGCTCCTATGGCCCCAGCGAGGAGGGTATGATAAGCTGCTGGGCTTGGAAACCTAGCTCTTGCTGGGTTACGGTATCAGATCCCTAGGAGACATGAACTGGATTTCCTTTGTGCCGGGATGTGGAATGGTCCAGACAGCTATAAGCACCTGCCGGACACGTCTGTAACGTCCTGCACTGATGTGAGCCTTTAACACACCAAGACTCAGTACCCTAGAACAGGCAGATTTCTTATATTGTTCAAAATGATCAGCTTTCTGTCTGAAGCTAACACACTTTTGGAGTCCTAACGCAGCATAATAAACGTGAGGGACTTTTGAAGTCTGCCTATGTTTTGGCTGATTTACAGGCTTGGCAGAGAGTAGGGCAGGGGCAGTTACTGACAACTGCAGTGTGGTCAGACATGGACTGCCAAGTTTGTAACATGAGGCTTGGGTTCCCTCTCAGGTTCTGCTTGACAAAATAGGTAGAAGTCACTTGGCTGTGCTCTTGAGAAGTACCCTTGAGAAGGTTTTTCCTAAATAAAGGCCATTAGCAGGCTGAAGGGAAAATGCACTGGGAGCTGCAGTAATTCTTTAAGGAAAATGTTCTCTGAGAGAACTCTGTAGCCCAGCGGATGCCAGTGCTATAGTCCTATCTTAAGAGGTAGTCATGAACTTGGGGACCTATTTTGAAAGGCTTTTTTTGTGTGTGGTGTTTTGAGAGAAACAACAGGTGGAGAACAGCAATTGAGTGGCTCTGTCTGTCTAGCAGAGATGAACTGTGTCAGTGAAGGATTTGTAATACTACTGAGGAGTGAAATGCAGATGCATGTATTGAAAGGAGAAGAGAGAGGGAAGAAAAAGAAGGGAATAAAAAGGAAAAAGAGATGAAAGGAAGGAAGAAAGGGAGATGGAGAAGGAAAGAAGAATGAACACTGTTAAATGGAGGTTTTGATTCTACTTAGCTGAGATGCTAATATTCAGGGGATCTTCTAGGGACCTGGAAACTTTGCTAGTGATCTCAATTTCAAAGTAATATTTTCCATACATTAAGTTTTGTATCAAAACGAGGGGGTTGTAGTGAAAGAGAGTCCCTCTTGTTCAATAAATCCTCAGTTTCAGATCCACGCAGAACAGAATTTACCTTGTACTGTTCTTCCTGAGGCTGCAGAACAGGAACGGAGAGCTCAGGGCTTCTTTCTGTTGTGCTTCCTTTTCTTAAAAGCCGCCGCTGCTTGATCTGCTGAAATCAAAAGCAAAGGAAATCCATGAAGTTCCTGCCAGACAAAAACATTCACTGTGTTTGCTCCGTTCCCCTCTCACCTGTTTCTCGGGGGATTAATTTCCCTGTGAGTCTATTCACATTTTATTACAGAACTTACATCAATTTCTAAAACTTCTTTCACAGAGACATTTCGTTCTGGTTTATGTAGCAGAGAGCATGACAGGTCTGTCAAGCAATGCTTTCAATACTCAGGGGGTTTTCTGCATGTGGCTATGACCCATCACTCTGGGGACACGGGAGTAATGTGACAGAAGGGGCTATAGCTGTGGATTGGTTGCCCTGTACCAAAAGCAAGCATATCTGAGCTGTTGGGCCTGTAAAAAACAAATGCAAGTCATGCAGCATGGCTCTGGATCCATACAAATGCCTGCAAATATCTCTCACAATCCTCTCCCTTTGTGGCCCAGCTCAGGACGCAAGACGAGCCTGCTGTCTCCCTGGGCAGTATCGTAGTATGAAAGAGGCGGACAGGTCTTCTTGCAAAGGGATGTGGCCCACAGCTGCTTGTAGGTAAGGCAGCTGGAAAGGATGGTGTGGCAAAATGAGCTGAATGTTGCGAGGACTCCCCCAGCTGAAAGGCCATCCAGGTCCAGGGAGGAGTCCTAAGAGGAGAGTACGGAGGTGGTAGCTAGAAGTGGCGTCCTACAGGCCTCTATAGACAGGACAGCGCTTCCCGAACAAAGCTCTCGCTTGGCAATGCATCCCTGCATGCATTACTTACCTGTACAGGCACCTTTGCTGTATCACTAGTCCAGTTTGTCTGTTGGGTCTTTACGCATTTCTTTAGCCTGTGGGATGGAGGGCTGTCGTGTGACCTGCGAAGGAGCACGCCATACCCCTGTGGAACAAACCCACAGGTAGAAAAAATGCCAGCCTCCCTCCTGCTGAGGAGAGCAAGGGTTGTCCTGAAATAGCTTGGTATGAAACAGGGATTATTTCATTCTGGAAAAGAAACTGTTCTGAGAGCTGCTTTCTTCCTCTGTGATTGTATCTAATATTTGTTCAAATAAATAAATGTTTTGAATGTCTGCAATTTGTGTTTGCAGTTTTGTCAGTGCAAAATAAGCTGGGCTTTAAGATGGAGGAGTTATTCCATTTTACTGACAATAGCATAAGAGGGAAATTGCCCAGTTACTCACTCCATGTCCTAACCCCCGCTAGCAATGGTAGAAAAATACCCTTATAGCTGAAACCTTCCGAGAGCCTTCTGTTGCCTCAGTTAATTTTTGTCTCCCTCAGCACCTGCTCAAGGTGGAGGCTGCTGAGGGGGATGGAGACTTCCAGTGCCTCTCCCCAGAAGCTGCCACCCAAGGACCAGTCAGGAGGCCCTCCCAGCACTCACTGAGACAAGCCCATGTAGGACTTGCATTTGGAGCCTTAATAACAGCATGCTGCTCTGTCATTAGGCTGCTGGGTAATTTAGCGACTGGCTTTATTTAACTTACCTTGGTAGTTAAACACTGCTCGAGTGCTGAAAAATTTTGTCCATGCCACGTAGGACACAAAAGCTCTATCCACGGCAGCTCACAGGGCTCATCGTTTTAGCCTTCGTCACAGCATCGCAGGTAGGTCAGGGCTCCTGTCTACCCACATCTTGGGGCCCCACAGCTGCTCCAAAGTGAGACTGTGGGGGGAGATAAGCAGAGTAGAAAAGAAAATGGACAAAACCCACAGTGTAGCAGAGGTAATGAGCAAATGTGATTCAGAAACTAGAAGGGAATAGGAAATTACTGCCGATAGGACATGATTCTTGCCAATAAAACTTGTTTCAGGTTTGGTTTGGGGTTTTTTTACCACGTTGTCCTCCTGCAGTCTGCTGTTTGCTAGATGTAAAGCAACCCTGTGGGATTAATTGGAGCCGTTTCCCTGCTTTGCAGCTTCCCAGCATTAAAGCTTACAGAAGAACCTGTGAATGGAAATAGCAGGAAAGTGTGAATTAACTTTACTGGGGAGTGAGTCATCCCACTGAGCCATATCCTGTCATGTGCACAATAAGCACCCTAAAACTCCCTGAAACCTGTGAACAAAGCTGAATTCCTGGTGGTGGGGGTGAATCTATCTCATTAAATGGAGTGTCCTACCAAAGCCACCCCAGGGGTCCTTAAAGCATTGCCTCTAGTCCTCTCCATGGTGCATTACCAGACCTGTGCTGCTAACCTGGCTCTGGTACAGCTTGGGCTTGTTTCTGCCTTGCAGTGCTGCTTGACTGACCTGTATTTTCAGATGATGCTGTGAGCACAGGAGAGTTCCTGGGAGACTGTTGCTAACACAAACCACCCCACCAGGCTGGATGAAGCTAGCCAAGCCCATTACTAGGCCAGCACAACTCCACATGAGTGCCACTTACTTTAATGCCAGTAAGGATACTTATGATTAGTAGATCTGATGCTCCATAGTGCAAAGCTCAGCATCAAATGCTAAAAGAAGCCAACATGCTTGTAGGCTTGAAACTCTATAGTACCTTCCTTCTTGCTCAGATCTCTGACTTGTACTCTGGTCAACAGACTCCAGCACAGTCCCACATCCAGCAGAGTAACTCATCAGGGCTTTCCCACTACCATAAGCGACACTGCAAGTACTTCAGCACAGGTATGCACTGGGCTGTGTGTAATTCTACATGAAGCTGGTGTGCTAGCTGCCACCTCCAAAGGAGCTGAGCTCGGGTGTCAGCAATGGTAGGAACGCGGTGTGGAAAAGACCCTTTTGTTTCCTTTCTCTGTAGGTAGCACACCCTAAATGGGCTTAGCTGTGCCAAGAAGGTTCCCAGCTGGCAACGCTTTCCCAAGCTTCCACTGAACCCTGACTGGGAATTAATCCCCAAAATAACACCAAGTTTCGTCTGACTCAACACAGCCTCCTTCCAGCGCCAGAAGGGCAAGTCTGAAAGGTCCCTTCAGGAGATCTTTATGCCCTGTAGGTTACGTCCTATTTACTTTGAAGGACGGGCTGAATTATTACCAGGTCAGGAGCTGACATGAGTCCAGCAGCAGGAACCTGGCAGTTCTTGAATCCTGCTGAAACACAATTACCCGAGAATGGCATCCTCCCCCATTTCCTGAGAGGGGTGTGATTTTGTTAACAACCTTATAACTTTCTTAACGTCCCCCCAATTTCATGCTCAGGTGCTAACTGGCTTTTTTTTTTTTTTCAGATTGCTGCAAGTTTAATGCTATTTATCAATTAGGCAACCATTTCCAGCTTGGAAGCAGGGCCTGATTTGACTTGCCTCAGCTGCAGTGGCAGGTAAGTAGTCTGCTTCAACTTTGCTCCTAATGCCTTCCTGCCCTTGGTTGGTCCCTTCCTGCGGTCCTCTCCATGGCCTTGTGAAGAGCGGCGTGGGAACTGGAGGAGTGAGGGTGAGCAGAGGCACTGCTCAAACAGGCACTGGCACCACAAGAAATGTTTGTTTTCTCGCAGCCTGTGCTTCAGTCGGACTGCTGCTCTTCCAACCCTGCCGAGTTCTCCGTGCCCAGGAGGCTCTCCTTGGCCCGCTTGGTCTGCTTAAACATCTTGGCTCTCCTTTACATCGTTGTTTCTCTTGGAGACATGCTAAATCACTCTGTAGTAGGCCTGGGAGATTTATTTATGCATTTATACAAAGAAACCACTCAAATTTTACAATATGGCTCTAAGACTATGCTGTCAAGACCCAGCTCCCAGTCTGCATCTGCTCCCAGAAGAGGAATCAAAGAGCTGGCCCAGCTGGCACCTGGGCCTCCTGGAAGCTGCTTACTCATGCCTCTGCGGAGTCCAGCCCTGGGCTCTCCGTTCCCACCGTATAAATACAGCATTGTACTTGCAAAGACCTATTGCACAAGAGAGCAGGGTATGTTTCAACGTATCCCTGAGACAGGTTCCCTCTGCTGCAGCCCCACGTGATCCTGGTTCCCAGGGTGACACCATGCCCTTTCCAGCTCCCCGACTGAGCTGCTTAGCATCCAAACTTGACGGACTTGTTCTGGAAGAGCAGGAGGAGATGTGGGTCCCATCCTCCCCCTCCATCCCCTTATCCCCAGCACTGCCCCTGGGGCAGTGTTGTGAACTGAAATACTCTGGTTTCTGCTGCTATAGAGGAACATCAGGTGCGGGGAAATTTGGCTCCGGGACAAGTTTCACCACGAGTCACTGAGCCAGGCTTTTCTTTCCCATGAGATAATCTTGGGCGGGGCAGACAATCTCTTAAAATTAAAATACAATGAAAATACACGGGCTTCCCAGGGTTTAGGGTGAATTTCTCTTTCCTTGTTTTCTCAGAAAGCGAGCCAGGCACTGCAGGAACCTTCCCCAAGCTTGTGACAGAGAGGGCAGCGCTGCAGAGTCAGCCTTGGAGCCAGGCCTGGCTTTCTGGCCAGGGGAAGGTGCCTCCTGCTTCCCCCAGCCCCTGGTAGCAGGATCCCACCTGTGGGACCTGGCTCTGCTGGTGGTGAGGCTGAAAGAGCTCAACTTCCCATGGAGGAACCTCCACAGTCCTGTAGAGGCAGGGGGATGGGAGGGGATGGGTTGGCGAGTCAAGCACACACAGCAAAGCCCCCTTGCCGCAGCACCCTGGCGGCTGCGCCTTCGTGCTGG